TCTCCTTATAGTTTAAGCTTAGCTATAATTATAGGATCAAAAATACTTTGTAGAGGGATGAGGGCACTAAAAATGATTTTTGGCACCGGACGCTAATTATGCTAGGCACAGTACTGCGCCTAACCATCTTATCTAAAAACAATTGAAGCATTTCAAGCGATCTCCCTTCGTATAATCACATATGCCCGATGATATGTGTCTAATCTCACCCTCCACGATAACTTAAACATTGAACCAGTTGTAAATTTAGTTAAAACTCACTATAAAAAATTCCCCTTCAAATTAAATCATCACCCAAATCCTTTTATCGCAAACCAGCACACTTTCTCAATTTCTGGCAATCCTCCTCGTCGTCTTAAAAGACGTTGGTTTCGTGACCTATTAGTCTAAAATAACTGTCTGTTTGCTTAGCGTAACTCACCAAAAAGGTCCTATCACTGGATAGCTTCTCTGCTCTATGTCCCAAAGTCAAGTTTATAATATTACCACATTTGCTTATTGTATTTATTTAAATATAGATTGTAAATTTGTTTATTTTTAATAAAAAAAAAAAAAATTAAAAAAAAAATATGAGATAAATTTTAGTACTCAGTAAAGCTAATGGCTCGTAATCCGAACTCAAAATGAAAGAAAATCGAACCGAACTATTTATCATTTAGGTATGTTCGAAATTTGAACTAGAAAATATTCTTTATCAAACAATCTATAATTAATTTTCTATACTTCGTAGTTTATAATAAATATCATAGTAATATTAACTATTTTTTTTTTATATTATTACGATTAGGTATAGTAAAATAATTCCACGTTGAAGCATATAATTTATTTTGTAAATATCTATTGGTAATATTATTACAGATTATTTTTCATATGATCAAAACCATAAATCTATTTTTGGAAAAGTGAAAACGAAAAATATAAACGTTTTTTGTACTCTATATTTTAAAAAACTGTATGAGAAATAATAGTATTGGATGTTAATAAATAATTATTATAATTTATTATATATTTTTAAGTGTATTACATTTTGCATAATGTAAGTAAAATTTTCATAATTTCAACCTATTTATAAAAGGAAAAAAAAATTATGAGTTCGATAAAAAAATTGAATAGTTCGGTTAGGTCCGGGTTTATTTGAATAATTATAAGTTCAGTTCGATTTGTGTTCGTAATGCTTTGACAATGTTCGATTCGATAACGAAAAATCAGGTTCGAACCATCACTAATATTTATATTTAATAAGTTATTGATATAAATAAAATTAACATCGCTTACATAATTATAAGAAAAAATCATTATTTATATTGCGTTTATAAAAAAATATTAAGTTTTAATAAGTTAAAACTTTTAAAACTTTTTTTTAGATTTTATTTAGTTTTATTAAGTTTTTTTTTATAAATTAAAATACTTTTTTTTTTATTTATTTAAACTAACAATGTGTCCACATATTACATGTTATTACAAGGTATTATTTATATAATAATGATACGGTTAAAAGAAAATAATAATGATGTTGTGGAATGAAAATAATGGATAACTAATTTTTGAGATAATAATAATAATAATATATATATATATTCTAAATTGACAAAATGTAGTCGTTAATAATGATAGACTTGGTTGGATGTTACATAATTTCAATTAAAATTTTAGATAAAATTAATGAGGATAGGTCTGAGAAAAGATAAGATTATAAAGATATTATGAGACGGTGTGCAATAGTATTATGGAGAGATAATGCCTTTAGCTTTTAGTGTGTTTAGGACTGATGTAAGGAGGGAAATTAATGGATTAATTAAAGAGCTTAAATTGGATATGAGTTTTGAAAAGGTATTTGATATTTGTTCTGGTTGTTAGTGGCTTCTGCTTATGATTTTATTTTAGTTCTGGGTTGAGACTGTTGAGAGTGAGGGTCAGGATCTTTGACTGGTTGAAACTTTTGAGCAGATTTTTTAAATATTGACTCGAATGCTGGGCATCCTTTGAAGTTTACGGTGTGGTCTTTAGCGCATAGAGCGCATTTGGCTGGACTATTTCGGTCCTTGGTACACTCGATTGTCAGATGGTTTTCACCACATTTGACACATCGTGCTTCATGGTTGCAATAGTTCTTTGTATGTCCATAGTCTTGGCAATTATGGCATTGCGGTGGGCCACGACTTTTTTTGAATGGTTTTTCGATTTTCACTATTGTGTTGAGAAGAGATGTAATTTCATGGATATCATTGTTATTTTTTTGCTGACGGATATCTACGAAGAATACTGGAAGTGGGCAGTTGTTCCTGTTTTTGGTATTGTAAATACTCTTGACTGAATGTCCCTGTTCAGTAAAAGCAGAAGTAATATCGGTGTGTAAGGTGGAATTATGTAAATTTTTAATGACGACTCTGTATGTGTGATGACTTGGGGGGGGGGGTAAATGAATGGAAACTAGCGTTTGTTTCATGTAAATGATCTATTATTACATCGTAAGTTCGTTTATCGGTGGGTTGTGACGGAGTTGACTTACAGGTGTAACCATTTGGTCCGGTGATATTTTTTAGGACGGTGTTGAATACTGAGAAGTTGGATATGTTTTTGATGTGGATAGGAGGAGCCACGGGTTTAGCATTGTGAACTTTGTGAAGTGGTCTGTCCGGATCTTCCGTGGTGCTAGTTGAAAGTGTGGCGAGTACATTGTCTTCATCGGTGTTGAGTACGGCGTAACGGTTCGGGGTGATAAAAACTTTTTTTTTGTCGATTTGACTGGGTGAACTGTAGATAGGTTTTGTTTCGTTGTTTTAGGTGTATGCGGCATGATAATGACGTAATATTATTGTGACAAGTTATATAATAGCGATATGATAACGGAGCGCGGACAATTACGACGTGCGTGTGTTCATGTTGAACGTTGCGGCCGAACTTATTAAAATACTTGAAGATGCATTTTGAAGTTTTATCCTGGGGGCAATATTTGGTTGCTACGACTCTATGTAATGTTTTTATAAAAAATTGAGGGGTCGATTTGGATCTTAATTTGTATGAATTTTAAACTATTTATAATACTAATCACTATTAGTGTCGCCCGCGCTATGAGATCTCATCCATAAAATATAAAATGACACTTGAAATACCTTAAAAAAGTCTTTGAAAATATACCTACAAAACTATTGGCTATAAGGAATTACCAGAGTGAGATACAGTATGAGATCTTATGGTAGTCAACCTGTTAATATTTATAATGAAGTACTTATACTTGTAGCAAATTTTTTGTAGCAATTTCAAAGAATTTGTATTTTATATTTTAATAATACTTAAAAAAAAACTAAATAATTTCAAATTAAATTTAATTAAAGTTTTCACAAACATTTCTTCGCTTTTTAATTTGAAAACTTGTCAATATCACACAATGTAATACGTCAGATCTTTGTGATATCACTTTATACTTGTAATATCTACTCCCATAGCGTCCATATTTTTTAATTGAAATGTAGATCGTAATCTATTATTTATTCTTTTCAAAGAAGAAAATTATTTTTTATCAAAACAATTTTTATCATGCATTGTAAAAAAAAATATGTAGACAAGTTTTTACATTTCTATACGCATGTGATATTTGCATGTCATGAATAAAGTTCAAGCCAGTGTAATTTCTTGTCACCTAATGAGAAGATAATTAATTATGAAATTGAAAATATCCTTCTATAAAACTATTGTGTTCAAATCTAGTTTGTTTGCATACATTGACTGTACATTTTTTTATTTTTTTTATTTGTTTATTTTATTTATATCAGGATTTTCTTTAAATAAAAATCCTAATTTTTTCTCTACTTCAATGTATGCCACTTTACTTTTATTGAACTCGGATATAAATCTAAATTAAATTATTTAAAATTAATATCACTAATAAATTTTGCTCTTGGATATAATTGGCTATCTTTTGTGTCATTATACTAGTTAAATATTTATTTTGTAGAATTTTTTTCCTTGAACTTTGATATTCGATATTTTAATTTAAAAATCCCATAGATTCACTTTCATTGTCATCCAAATGTTCTTGAATATACAGCATAAAATTTATTGAGGAAATGTACAAGGGCCATATTGAAAATTAGTTTTTTGTTGAAGATTTACCAGGGATAATTCTATTAACTATTATTGATTTATTAATTTATCAATTTAATCGTGTGATTGAGATATATCGTGATGAATTCAGGTTTTGCGCTACAATATGATTGCATATAATATAATAAAAAATAAAAATTTAAAATATTTACTGTGACTTTTTTTGTTCTGTCTTTGTTAATCAGCTATAATTATGACTAAAATGTATACAACAATTTTGTTTGTTTATTGTCGGAGGAGGGCCCTATTTCAAGTGGGTCCAGTGCAAATGTCCTATTTGTTGCATAAATATGGTCTTGAATGTACATTACTTTTCTGGGGAAGAGTCGAGAAATTCATCACTTTGACATTAGTGGCACTGGCCATTTATAATATTTTATACGTTATAATTACAACATTTATACATTCCCTGGAAAAAATGAATTGGTCATTTAAAATTAAAAAGAAATTTTCGAATTTCGGTGTCCCTTCAATCTTAATATTAGTTGTGATTCTACCCTTTCCCGTGTGACGGGGTTCACGGGTATCTATAGTTACGTCGGTGCTCCTCTATTGATTGTCGTGTCCACGGGGTTGTAGAAATACGGTGCTGTTATAATACAACCCAATACAAGTACTACACAGAGGCGGAATGATATTTTAATAACTATTAGGTGTGCAAATACTTTTACTATTCTCGGCCGGTAATCGTTCAACTGCCTACGGTTACGGTCTACACTGTATACTGTACGTCATAATATTTTGGGTAATGGTACAACGGTACCCAGGGGACTAGGTAGAAGTTACCGAGTTTTCGAGTACAATTTATCGCGTTGCTACGTGAACACGGCGACGAGCGTGCGCGCGGCCCAAATCCCATCTGATCAGGCGTTCGGACGAGACTGTCAAGTGACAGCCGTTGAATCGTCGTTGTCTTCGTAGCGGCTAATCTCTAAACGCGTTATCTCACGTCCCGTGTACACTCGGCTACACGTAAACATGTTCGAAAACTAACAATTAATCAATTTGATTTACAATGCCGCAATGATATTGCTATCGTCACCGAACAATACGAATTTGCGGTGTTGCACGTTCTACGTGTTTCAGTGGGTTCCTACTGCGGCCCGTAGAACACACGGACGTCACCGCTACTGTACGCAATAACACATTAACTCGAAAAACGAAACGGATAATTTTTTATAGCCGCTGATAAGAAGGTTATATATATATATACATTCCGGTAAAATTACATTATTGTTTCGTTGTCGGCGGCCGTGCGGTTGTTCCCGCTGCGCGTACAGTTCGGTTGATAACTGACTGCCGCCGAGGTTGTTATAGTATTGCCACTTCGAGCTCGACGATCGAACCGAACTCCGCGAACTTATTCTTGTTGCACAGCTCATTTATTTTATTTTTTATTGTTATTTGATTATTATGATTACTTATTACGTATGTCGTTGCTGTAATTAGTTTTTTTTTTTTACTATTAATTATCTTCCGTCGTAACCATGCACATTGTTTCGAATGAAATTAAAACCGATGGATTACTTCAATGTAAATTACACTCCGTCAACGTTGCAAAGCTTTCGAGTATAACACCCAAATTCTACATCATATTCTTCGTATTTATATACATAATGTCGTTGTAAGTACATTTGTTGTTGTAAGACGTGTTATTGTCTTGATCTGGTAATCTTAAATAATTATCTGCAGTTTAGGTATTCAATTTAAGAACGTTAACAAAATTCAGATGTTCTTAGTAATCAATAATTGATATACTCGTTTAAATTGTGTCTAAAGACTAGGGCTTATGCATAATATATAGATTTAAATATACACAATAATATTTTTTTACCTAGTGGTTATTAGTTTGCAAAAAAAATTAATTTTATTTGCATAAAATATCATTACATTTATAATCTTACATACATAACAGTTCTGTAATCATAGATTTTTTTTCATTGTAATTTTTAACTACCTCCTAGGTACTGATTATTTTGTATTATAATATATGTAAAATATGTTTAGCTATGGTATATACTATCTTACTAAACTATAACATGGGTTTTTTTTTAACTTAGATGTTTTACTATTAATTTTGATCAATATAATTAAATTTACTCAATTATTTTAATAGATTAAAATTATTAGGTTTCTACACAGATATATAAATCGAGGTTTATACCTATGTTTATGGTTTTATATTATGTAATAAATTTAAATTCTTAAATTATATGTGGTAAATTGTAATATAATAAACTATATAGTAGACAGACACTTTCAAATTAATAAAGGTCAAAACATTTGATACTAGTTTTATATTTATTTAAAGTGGTCTTTTGTGTCCCCTGTTGGCTATTACTACTTTTAACAAGTATTCATTATATAGAGTCAGCATGAGATTATTGAAACCCACAATACATGTTTTGTGAAGTGTCCTTAAAAATAACTAGAATACATTTTTAAAATACTGTTTTATAGGAATGTTTTTAGTTAATATTATTTATATTTTAGTTTTATTTTCAATTAATAGGTAATTAAAATAAAATATAATAGAAAATATGTTATTCTATGTACTTCTTAGGTACCTATTATTTACCCATTATTTATCTATTATTATGATGATTTATTAGTGAGCATTCTCTGGGTTAGTTTAAGTTTTTTTTTTACTGTTAAATATAAAAATATGTATATTATATGAAGGTTTTATGTTTTTTTTGGGTTTTCATAATTGAAGAAATATAGTTAATTATTTCTTATCACAGTTTTACAATGTAATAAAGTAATGATTTTTTTGAAAGTAAATTATCAGTAGGAAAAACACTTAAATACATATAAATATATGTACATAGATACTAAATTAAAAAAATAATAATTGTATGATATTGGTTTTGAGCAGAGCCAGATTAATGAAATTAGTGGTTCTGGGCTAATTTATTTTTGGGGCCCTAATTTTACAAAAAAGTATTTTTATAATAATATGTCAATTTATATTAATTAGTTAAATCAGAAAATTATTTTTTCAGACAGCAAATTTACATTACATAGTAAATTTATTAAAAAATAAAATTTAGTTAAATGTTAAAATATAAAATATATGGTAATAACACAAAAATACAAACAAATGATTATTTAAAATATTTTTTTCTAGATTTATTTGATGCCAAAGTATCTAAAATGAAAGTTTTTTACATATCTCATTTTCAATTGACATAATTGTTAATGCGTTCAACCTATCTTTAATCTGTGTAGATCTTAGTTGATTTTTAATTATAGCCAACTTTGAGAATGAATGTTCTGATTTACGATTTGTCAACGGTATTGTCAGGTTTAATCTCAGTGCAAGATATACATTTGAAAAAACATCAATAAGTTGTCATTCATATAGAAGTTTTGCTATAGCACCACAATTGTCAATATCTGAAGAAACTGTTTTGATATAATGATAATAATGTGATATTTTTGTTTTCAAGTTATCATTGAAATCATTATGTTAAAACTGAATACAGTTATTTAATAAATCATGGTTTGAGTTATTGTCAGTTTTAAAGTTAACTAAAAATTTGAATCGAGAAAGAAAAAAAGTATAAGAATTTAATCTTCTGTCAAGTTCAGAAATCAATTTATCTATAATAACAAAGAAAGTATCGACTTCAAACTTTTTTTTGAAACCTATAAAACAAAACAAAATAACACAGTATATTGTGTTTTGTATGTACCTATCTAATTCAATAATATGTAGGTTGTCACAGATAATTATTTCTAATGATTAATATGATCGTGTCTTCAAATAATTATTATAATATTTAAATATTGTTAAAATCATATTTTTCTAATTATGTATCTATAACTGTAGAAAAGCTGCAAGCCCATTTTATTTTTTTGGAGGCCCTGGGTTCTAGTCCGATTAGCCCCCCCCCCTTAATCCGGCTTTGGCTCTGAGTATAAGTTTTTGCATTTTAGATGCCTAAAAATTCTTAATTATTTTAAAGTGAAATGTTATTTATGTATTAAATGTTTTGTAAAACTAATTGAATTTAGAATTTTATATATTTTACACGTTTATTATACTTTTAGATTCTAAATAGAGATATAATGTTATATTTTTCTATTATCAAATGTTTGGGTTGTAAATATACTATAAAAGTATTATATTGATATTTTAAAATACAAAATCCAATACAATATATAATACTTAAAGAAAAAAGTTTTTTTTTTTATTGCTTTTATTTTTACAATATTATAGAATAACAATTATTAGAATTTAGATACGAAAAAAAAAAAAAAAATAAAATAAAATAATAGTAAAAAAAGTTTTTATTTTTATAAAATAACTTATTGTGTGTTTAATGATTGAAAATTGAATTTGAATATTTTTAATTATTATTATAAATGAAGAAGTTTTGAACTAGCTAACTTTTAAACCTTTTAATACATTTTTTTTTAAATAAAAGTATTTAATTTTCTGTGTTTAAACTTCATACAAGTATGCAAATTATTTCATTACATTTATGGATTTAAGATGCAAGTATATTTTATGATATGTAGTCAATTCAACTATATCTATGTATATATTATAAGTAGTAACCTTCTGTCAACATTTTTTTTTTTTTGAAATTGACTTATTATTGTTTTCAAAATTATAATTATATTGATAATTAACACAATGTTTTTTTTTAGAATTAGCCAATGAATAAAGAAAATTATTTTAAATTAACTACAATGAAAAATGGTAAGAAAATATTTTTATTTATTAAAAATAACATTTTGGTTCATTTTTTACAGTATAATATGTACTTTATAAATAATTTTTTTATTTTTAACATTAGATTTAAAATTAGTTTTTAAATATATAACTTTATTTAATTATTACTTAAAAGTTTTAAAATAAGATGATAGTATATAAATTATGTAAGGCCATCAGTTTGATATTCAAATATTGGTTGGTTTCTCTATAAATTATATAAAGAAATAGGTACTCTATCACTGATGGAATATACTTGTTTAATCAATATCTTTATTTCTTAAACTTATTTGGTCAGTGGTAGGTAAGCTACTGGTTTTAACCCAAGATCACTAAAATAACTATTTGTCTATAGTTGAAAAAAAATTATATTGTTACAAATATAAAATAATAAAACAGTATTCCTATTTCTTAAACAAGGAAATTAATTATTTTTTAGTGGAATTTGTCAATTGTTTAGATAAAATATAAAACTTATTAGTTTATTTTCCTGGTAAAAAGGAAAGAATATGTTGAACATCTCTCTTTAAATTTATTCTTAGATTGTAATAGGAGAATATTTTTATGATGATCATGTAAAATTTATACATAGTAAGCATAAAACAAAATTAAATATTGTAGTGAAATAGCTTTATAAAATCTTATATTTTATTTTACGGATTTTAAGAATATACAATATTGCATATGTAATGTTTAATCACAAAGAAATAATTCATTGTTTAAAAAAAATTATCCTTTAGAAAATAGAGGTTAGTTTAGTGGGAACGTTTTATTTTGTTAGTATAACATATTAATTTTCATTGTTAAATTTAATTATAATATTAAAATTCAGTTATAATTTTATTAAAGGTTTTTATTTAATTTACTTAATTTTGATTTAAAAAAAATATTTACTTATTAAATGTTAAAAATTATATAAATACATAGAAGTATTTAATAAATTCAATAAATGTGTATTTTTTTGTTTTCAGAAATTTTTTATTTAAGCCGACCCAGCATTAAAAAAAATGTTTTATTAACCTTCTGTATTGGTGTACTATTTGGTATATTTTTTGCCTACACTACTGTATCTATAACTGAATGCCATTTTAAAGATATCAAAATACTTCCATCGAAGTTTTCCTATGAAACAAAAAAATATAGTGATCATCATTCACACGGACATGGAAACTATAATGAAGGTTTATTTAATGATTCAATTATAATGAAAGATCATGGGGTAAATGAAACTTTACATTTTCGTAAGTCAAGCTAGGTTCAATCTATAAATAAGTTTTTATTTCAATGTAATATATTTTAGATGAAGATATTGTGGCTCAGGAATTGAAAAAACGGATTAGAGTTATTTGTTGGATTATGACTAGTCCTAGTAATCATATAAAAAAAGCAAGGCATGTAAAAGCTACATGGGGTAAACGTTGCAATAGATTACTTTTTATGAGTACTGTTGAAGGTTAGTGTATTATAATGTACTTATTGTAATAGAGATGTAATAAAATATATTTTCTTATAGATAAAAGTTTACCTACTATTGCTTTACCTGTTAAAGAAGGTAGAAATCACCTTTGGGGTAAAACTAAAGAAGCATTTAAGTATATATATCAACATTATAACGATTATGATTATGTATTGAAAGCTGATGATGACACGTATGTTACGCATTTTATTTTATGAATAGTATTTTATTACTCATTTAGTTTAAAAAAATCCCAATAATTATAAAACATTCTTTTCAAATATATTTAGTGTTAATATTTGAATACTCATTTTAAATAGTTTTTTTGAAATACTGTACAATATAATTATGAAAATTGTAAAAATGTAATTGTTAATAAAATATGAAAAGGAGTGTTTGTTTAATTTTCAAATATAATACAAACAAACTTCATTATATTAATTTATTCAGAAATTCTAAGCATAAATATTTTATTTAGTTTCACTCAATTGTTTGTCAGCATGTGATGTTGAGTATTATTTAAAATTATTGTATATTTAAGTATAATTTATTGTACGAAAAGTAAAAAATAATTAAAAAGTACTTAATATATTTATAAAGTATTTCAAATAATTTGATTTGCCATTACATTTTATGCTATTTTATAAACTATTTTATCTGTATTATAAATTAGAAGTTCCTAAATTAAGGCCTAAAATCTTGTAGTAGTCTAGAAGATTGTTATAATTATTTTGATCATCATTTACAAAAAAAATAAAGCTTAAAATTTGCTACAAATATGCATTTAAAATGTAATAAAATTCAAAAAATTAATTTGTATTATATATTATTATGAAAAAAGGGTATTAAAAAAATGTAATTGTATAAAGATTTTGTGACCAGTAGCCTGTTTTAAACTAGTTACTGCATTAAAGCACAAGCATCTTATACTTTTTATCTCTCTCGTAAAGCCAGTTTAATTGGCTAATAAATTGTTTATCATATGTCTTACAATAAAAAATAAAAGAAGAATTTCTAACTATTGATCACTTTATACAAAATAATATATTACAATAATTTTAAATGTAAGTTATGATATTGATTATAAATTTACATTAAATGTTTAAATTATACAAATATATCTATTTTATAATAAATATCCATATATACAATGTATATACAATTTGTATGTATGATTTTAATAACATTCATTATTTGATTAACTTATAAGTTTTTTTTGGAATTTTAAAGTTAACATTCTAGTTGTATAAAATAATATTATAATATTAAATATCTTATAATTTATTTAATTTCTGAATATAAAACCCTTATAACTTCTCAAGCTAAATATGTATTAATATATTTCAAATTAATAACATTTATATTTAATATTATATAATTGACTCTTTCATGTTATTGTGTTTATATTTGTTTTTAGATATGTTATAGTAGAAAATTTAAGGTATATGTTGACTGCATATGATCCAAATGATCCAGTCTTTTTGGGCTGTAGATTTAAACCTTATGTTAAACAAGGATATATGAGTGGAGGTGCAGGTAATTTATACTTTAAATTAATCATTTTATAATATTGGTATATTATAAAACAGGAGTAGTTGATGTATAGTTAAGTTATTTTTAACTAACTTAACCTATAATTTTATTAAAAAATGTAGTACTAATTTCAGCTTATAAAATTAAATAGTTTGTTCATTTTTTACATTTTAGTATTAATCTGAAAATTAAAATTTCAATTAATTTCTTTTGGTATATTTTCAATTTTAGTGTCTTTATGTTGATTTAATCATTCTACATTCCAATTATATTATATATACTTCTAAATTGTTTTGTGAACACTGAAGTTTGAAAAATATTGAACTTCATTTAGAATCATTTGAGGAATTATTAATAATGACTTAAAATCCATAATAATAATAATATAAATAATCTAGTATCTTAAATCTTGTAGGTGTCCATAAAAACACATTTTTTACTCTATCTTAACTATTAAATTACATTTGATATGATTATAATTATAATTTATACTATAAGTATGTATATTTTGTTAAAGCTATTTGATGCTGTGTTTATTATTTTTAAATTGTTTATATTTACCTTTCAAATATATATATTATATAGGTTATTTGTTAAGCAAAGAATCAGTTAAGAGGTTTGTAGAAGAAGCTATACCTCATAAACAGTGTCGGCAAGATAGTGGTGGAGCTGAAGATGTTGAAATTGGTTAGTTCTTTATTAATTATAAACTATTTATGATATATAGTATAAGTAACAATATTAATCTGGTACATAGATATTTTATATTCATTGGCATTCATTGTAGAATTTTGTTAAATAATTAGGGCTTTAGTCCTCATTAAATCTAATAAAAAGAGTAGTTATACTTTAGTCTTTAATACATACTGTTAGTTGGAACATTTTTAAGATTTTTTTTTATGATAATAATGATAATCAATACTTAATATTGTAAACATTTAAAATAATGTTTAAAAAATGTTAAGTTAATTTTTAACTTAAAATTAATTATTAATAGTATAAACAGGACGGAAAGTTAAGTATATGATAATTATTGCTTAAATATTTATTTATTATTGTTATTTTATTAATGGATGTTCTGAATTTTGCATATATATATTTGTTGAATGTATTTAAAACATGATAATTTATTTGATACTTAATTTGTTTAAGGTATTTGTCTTCAACTAGTTGGAGTAAAAGCTGGAGATTCTCGAGATAGTTTAGGTCGTGGGCGTTTCTTTCCATTTGTTCCAGAACACCATCTTATACCTGGCCATACAGATCCAAATTTTTGGTATTGGAAATATATTTTTTATCCAATAGTAGAGGTAAAAGGAAAAATATGTATTTTCTCCCAATTGTATTATTAATTATTTTTAATATCTGTATAGGGTATGGATTGTTGTTCAGATACAGCAATTTCATTTCATTACATTGATCCTAATAATATGTATGTACTCGAGTATTTAATTTATCATTTACGACCATATGGAGTATCCCAAAATATTGACCAAGCCATCATAAACAAATTTCATCTCAACAAGGGCAGCAATGTTACTAAGACTGATAAGCTGAGCAATAAAACACAACATAATTAAATTTGTTAGCTGTATAACTTATTGTTCAAACATTTCACTGGATAATGGACAGTGTTCATTCTTGTTGTATATTTATAACTATATTTTTGCATAATTTAGAATAATTAATTCCGTGCCATTTGCATGTCTGTTTTCAGAACATTTTACTAGTCAACAACTTATGGCAAATCCTAGTCAATTTGCTCATAAAGTTCTAAAGATGGAGCTTGATTTCTTTAATTATTTTCTTTCTTATTATTTCATGTTTAATATAATTATGCACTGTGTTTAATTATATTCATGCTCATTTATTGTTAAATAATTAAATAAAATATTATGTATCATGATATTTACCAAATACATTTCTAAATCTTGTCCTATGAATCAACCAAAGATATTATTTTATAATTGCTTATAAAATGTCTTTAATAATATTATTTGCTATTAGTTATTCATTTGTTTATAAACTACACAGTCATTATGTAAACTACTTATTATTTATATTATTGTATAAAAGAAAAAAACTGTGATTTATATTAAAGAACAATTAATTAGTTTAGTTACATTTGACTTAAATGTCAATGTTTAAAATGGTTTTAATATCTTATAATATATTATTATAGTATTATTTATTTAAAAGAGTGTACCATTTTTTATAAATACATTGTGAATTTGATGACTATGTTCTTTGACATTATTTATAACATTCTTATTATATATCCTATATATTATATTAAATATTTACAAACTTGTGTATTTTATCATATAATTATTGTGGCCTTAAATAATCTTAAATCATAGATTATTTTAATTATTTATTATTTTTTATATTTTTCAATAAATAAATAAAAAAAGTTATGTACAAAGAATAGCATTTATTTAAAGACATAATAAAAAACTAGATGTCTTGGTAATGCTTTAATTATCATAATTATAACAATATTAGTTGTACACTTGTATTTGAACGGAATAATAATTTTACTACTTTAAACTCTAGGATATAAAACTGATAAAATGTTAGTGAGTTCAATGAATATAGAACTTTAAGATATAGGCAGTGGCGTATCCAGGGGGGGTTAGGGGGTTATAACCCCCCCCGAAAATGTTTAGTGTATGTATATTGTATATTGATTATAATAAAAACACACAAAATTCAAAAAAAATTTAATGTTTCATTTTTTATAACCCCCCTCCCCAAAAAAAAAAATTCTGGATATGCCACTGGATACAGGTGTTGACCTGGTCATTAGGATATGTTTTTACTATTCATAACCCATATTCATAACAAATATTTTATGTATTGGCATTGTAATTTTAAATAATTTAAAAAAATTTGTTGAATATACACTGAAATTATTAAAATATACTTGGTTTTTGAAATTAAAATTCTTTAAACTCAAATTTAGTATTTTCTTTTATTTGTTCGTTGTAAACTATTGTAGGTGTGTTTCACTAAAAATATTAAGTTTTAAGGTGTGTATCAAATTCAATAATTTGCAAACAAAATATTTGATTCTTAATTGACACCTATGTTATTATGGAAAATGTGCTATAAATTAGTTTCAAATTAATAATTAAAAAATGTGTGCATGTTGTTTAACTAATAAAGTAATTCAATACTCCCTAAAACATTTAATTTAACATACAATATTTATGTTAATATCATAGTTATTAATTAATAGCAAATAAATACAATAACAATTAACAAATAGATTAATTAATACAAATGTAAATCCAAAGTAGAGTTGATAACGTAACGGCAGTTGGAAAATCATAACTTGTTTTCTTTCACATATGTCGCAGACAACACAGTGTTATCACTTATATGTGATAACTGATAATATTGTATTTAAGTACTCATTAAAGGTACGGATAAAAAGAAGTTATCCGTGATTAAGGCCATAATACTTTTATTCATATTTCTTATTAAGTAATGCAACACAAATCACAATAGGTAGAAGGTTACTTAGTTATGTGGTCGATTTATAATTTATAAATAAAAAGAAAATCTGTTAAAAAATAATTCTTTATAATGTTTTTATTATTGTGTAACAGTTGGTTGTGAACATTATTAAAGTTTTTATATATTAGTTGAATTGGTTCATTGGAAACAATGGCTCTTGGACATTTAGAACCGCAATATGAACTTTTAAATGGAAAAAAGTGAGTTTTCAATTGATTGAAAAATTTTTGTTATAACCATAGAATTTTATATTGTTTTTTTTTTTTTTTTTTAATTATAGAAGATATGTCCAGCCAATCGTACATACTATGGTATTGATCGGGCTAACTGTCCTTTTAGTATTTGTCGTTATTTTGATGTTTTCTGTGTCCTGGATGAAGTTTGATGACTCTAATAATCAAAATATACCTATAGATCTAGTTCTCTATGGTCCACAAAAGTATACAAGTAAAATATATTTTTATAAGTTTTTCTTGGAAAATTTATTATTTTGCAATTTTTATTCAAAATTATCGGGTTTACTAATTTTTTCTTTTCACATTATTTGTTTAATTTATTTTAGATTCAGAAACAGCTTCTTATCGTGCTCATGCATTTGCTATTGCCTCAAAGTACAGCAATAAAACTTCTTGGACAGCCAAGTATAAAATCAACCTAAAGAATCGAATAAACAAGGCATATAATTTGGCCTGTTATTATTCTATACCAACTGATAATACAAGTAATACCCTTCAACCTGATCAAATCAATGCTTCATTATGTACTCATTTAATAGTAGCATTTGCTCAAGTACGAAATAACAGCGTTTACTTCAAGAGCTCATTAGATACTGATGTAAGATGTCTTATTTTAATGTTTTTTGATACTATTTATTACAACTATTGGACATTTGATTTAGTTTAATATAGCCTATAATTATATTTAAACAGCCATTTTCCTGTGTAAGTTCACATACCTACATATTTTGGAACGATTTTAGTTTAGCAACCTATCAATTTTTTTAATTTTTCTTTTTCCAAAATATGTGTTTTAGGGTGTTTTATAAATATGTAAAAAAAAAGAACCCCGGACAAACTTCGCTTTGAAGTTATTGATGAAAAACTTCAAAAACTCGAAGTGATGTCCTTTGTGATATTTTCTCCTTCCGAATTTTGATTCGTCAATTTCAACAATTAACCCCGGTCCACCTATATACGAAGTATTTATGAAGAATAATTCACTAAAAATCAAATAAAATTTTTTTGCAAACGATGTGTGTGGTATCGGCAATGGCCAATGAAACTATTATACGAGTGTTTCGGCACTCGTTGCTACTCTCCTCGACGCCGTCGCTTTGCTTTGGCTTTGCAAAACCACCTCAAGTAGGTAACAGGGACAATAAAAATGAAAATATGCGAAAATTAAAATTAAATATTCAATTCTAAGTATTTTTTTTTAAAAAAATATGCACGTTATGAAAAAAATGAAGTTTTTAAAGTTTTTCATCAATAACATCAAAAAGAAATTTGTCCGGGCTACTTTTTTTTAGCATACTTATAAAACACCCTAGAACACACATTTTGGAAAAAAAAAAAAATTAAAAAAATCGATAGGTTGCTAAACTAGAATTATGCCCACATTTTTGTATTTATATTTATATTTTTGAATTTGCTATACTTTTAAAGTATAAAACTTATATAGTTGTCAGTGTTGAATAGGTAGATATTAGGTATAAATAAATACTTGATATTCAGATAATTCTGTATTTAATGTAAATATTAATGTAAATATATATTCAATATATAATTTTTATATCATATAGTAGTAATATATGTGACCTAATGTAAGTATATTTAATTATGATTTTATTTTTGATGTTTCAGGTATTGAGACAAGTAGTTAAGCTACGTGAAATAAACCCAGAATTAAAAGTATTACTCTCTATTGTGCATTTTTCTAATGGTTCACATACAAACGAGGGGTTTTCTGATGTTGTTGCCAGCAAAGAAAATTTATTCAAGTATGATAGGTTTTTAACAGTTCAATATCTGATTTGTTAGTGTATCAATGATAGTAATACAAAATATTATCATTATTTAGTATCATTTAGAATATGTTTTATCATATTAATTTGTTGTATTATCTCTCCTCAGTTGTATAATGTGGTTATTTACCATTTACAACTTTTTATAGTTACGAATCAAAAATAAGATGTGGTAGATCAGTGATTGTGCTTTGACATTCGGCGCATAGTGCTGTGGGTTCACATTTACAAATACACATTTTATAAAGTACCTTCATACGTTAACATGATGATTAGGGCCCGGAATTATATGCACTAAAAACGTACGAAATATGCATGCATTTATGCGATGGTTATCATTCAAATATGCAAAAATATGCAAACAAAAATGCATGTTTATTATTTATTAAATTACTTCAATTTTAAAATGTATACAATTCATTAAATAATTAATATTCAACAAAAAATATATTTTAAAATATATATTAACTGTATTTTATATATTTTATTGAACTGTATGGAACTGTATGTTGTATTGTAATTAAATTTTATTTTAACACTTACTCATCTAAACAAAAATTCACTAACGAAAATCAATTTAAACAAATCAAGCGGAATTTTTAAAATATTTTTAAAGTTACCTGGATAGTAACTAACGTATTGGTACTTTTAGCAAACTTTATCTTATCTTATTATTACACAAAAATCAAATTATATAACTGCACAATTCACGGAATTTACAATGGACATGCGCTAAGTAATAAATAATAATATTAATAACTTCATAATATTTTTTCTATATATGCATTATATTTCAGAAAAATGCTAAAATATGCATAATAATTTTAAATGTTCCAAGTATGCAAAAATATGCCAAATTTAATTTTGCATACCAACACTTTAGGTTAAGATTAAAATTTCTGTCTTGCCTAGTTACTTTTTAGTTTAAATATAAAAGTATGCAAATGCATACAATTTTGGGCCCTAGTGATGATTAATAATACCAAGGTATGTTTTTATAGGCATAGAAACAATTTTTAATATGAGAAAAAATAATTTGTAAAAGAACCAATTGTATTATAATTTTTTTTTTCAAGTCCTTTTTATGTTTAAAAGATATTAATTGATATTTTAGATTTTTTTTTTACATATTTAAAGAAAATGAATGCACATTTTTAACTTTGTGCATATTTTGTCAATTAAGTTATCTATCCTAGGGATGGCCATAAGGCTATATAAAAATGGTAGTAGGCTAGTTGTGGTGTGGGTGTCACCAGTTTCTCATCCTCTGACTTATGCTATTGGGCTTAATATTCTGAAATCGCTTAATTAACAAGTTGCTTATTAATTTAATTCGTACAATTTTTTAGATTTGTCAGTAATGTCGAATCAGTTGTCAGAGAATTTTATCTTGATGGTATTGATATTGATTGGGAATTTCCATCATGGCCTTTATTAAATTTAGAAGAAAAATATGGATTTGCTAAGTTATTAGAATCCTTACGCGATCAACTACCTGATTCTCTTTTAACTGCAGCTGTTGCTGCTCCATTAAATATCATTGATTACTCATATGAAGTTTATGCTTTAGCTAGGTAAATTAAGAATCAACAGTATTATTATTTAATATTTATATTTTTTATTAAACTATAATATATGTTTATTTTTTTAAGTTTTGTTGATTTTATAAACATCATGTCCTATGATTACCATTCATATCAATGGTATTTCCCATTAACTGGACCAAACTCACCACTGTTTTCTTCAGAAAATGAGTCTGGCTATTTCCGGAATTTAAATATCAATAGTTCTATACAATACTGGATATCAAAAGGTATGCCTAAAGAAAAAATATTACTTGGCATGCCCACATATGGACATTCTTTTAAGTAAGTTTTTCAAGTGACATTAATTTCTATAACCAATAAAATACATTTAATATTTCTTTTTTAGATTAATAAATGAAGCCAATAATGGTTTTGGTTCACCAGCTTCTGGTTTTGGTATTGGCAACAGTGGTTTTGTAACTTTTTCAGAAACATGTGATTTTATTTCACATAAAAAGGCTACAACTATTTTTGATCATGATACCCGTACACCATATACATATTATGAAAAAGACTGGATATCTTTTGATAATGAAAATAGTTTGGCTTATAAGGCAGAATTTGTTGCATCTTTAGGCTTAGGAGGAGCTATGGTATTTTCTTTAAACTCTGATGACTATAGTGGTTTAAGTCTATGTTCATCATCAGTATTTCCATTAACTTCTAGAGTAAAATTAGTGCTAAATGATGATGATTTGTAAATTAAATTCTAATTTATTTAAATGTATACAATATCTATAAATGTTGGACATTTACTATGATTAAAAGAAGTATAACACATTCCAAACTTCTAGACCAGGGCAGTGATTCCATTACATTTTTTGTCTTTAGATAACCTATCATAAGTATTAATTTATATATGTAATTGGCAGCATAGGATTATTTAATGAGATCATAAAGTACTAAATTAGTTATATTGTAGCTAGAAAAAAAAAATAAGTAAAACATTTCCCTTTTTATTGATTTCGATGAATTTTAGGTTAACTGTATCTATATAGTATATGAACTGTATGTATAATATTAAATAATCAACTACTAATCCGATCAGGCATTTATACTTATAAAAATAAATCAGTTTATGTTCATTTTTGTCATAATTAGGGCAAAGGACTTAAAGCTCTAAAAATTAAAATGAATTTTTTTGAACAAAAAATAAGAATTTTGCTGTAGGTAATTATTATAATAAATACATTTATTTACAACTTTATTTAACAACTTACAAGTTACAATGAACTAATTGGATTTATTTTATGGGGTTTCTTATCTGGATACTTACTTTAGAATTTTTTTATAATAAATAGTAAATAGTAAGTGTTAGGACAGTCAACTGTTGAGAAACACAGCGATTACTAAAATATGAATATGTCTGATGTCGGCGACAGACTGATACGTGGCCCGTATCAATATTTTGTGCATTGAACAATATTATCTCATCTGTCTATAAATAAAATTAAGAACCCGATAATCAATCTAAACAACAACTCTCGAGATGTGTTTTTAGTAAAACCATGATGGGTCTGGGAAAAGTCAAAAACCATATTAATATTATGATCAAAATTTTAAATCATTTTAAAATCAGCGTTATTTTGTTTGTAAAAATAAATAAAAACGTCGACGAAAAAATATTGATAAAATTATAAATTATTTAAAATATGCATCTAAAAGTATAAACTGGAAGAAATATGCCCTAATAACCAAAAAAGTGCAAAATATGCATTTATATGCACAATAAAATTTCAAAACTAGCTTTGTGGAAGCATGAAACATATTTGTTTCGCACTCTGCTATTTTTGTGACTGTGCAAAAAAAATATGCAAATGCTACAAGTCCTCTGCTCTAGTCATAATATTCAATAGTCACAAAAAAGTTTTAATGAACATAGTTAATCACCATTAAAAAAAATATTATTCCAAATAATTAACTTAAAAGTTATAAGCTATAATTGAAATGTATTTATAATTTACATTTTAACAATTTTTAAATACATTTTTGTCATTGTGATGCATTTATTTTTACATTTATTGTTGTTGATTGTAATTTATTTTATATTAAGTTAAAATTGTACTCTTAAAATTATTAAAAATCATTAAAAAATGATTTTTCAAAATATTGTGTCATTTAATAATTTTGATTAGATTTATTGAAAATTTTATTTTTATTTAATACATTTTTTTTTATTGAACAATTACATTTTAACAGATAATTATTTAATTTAATACAAAATATAACATTTAAACATATTTGTATTATTTTTAAATAGTATTAAATTGTTATATATTTTAAGAAAATATGTTGTAATTGTATTTTGAAATTTGAAGTATGAATAGCAAGTATTTTTCTTTAGATTATTAATTTCATATTAATTGGAATTATATACAAATAGTTTTGTACTCATAAAAAGTAAGAGAATGTATTTTTAAATTTCTTTAATATGATTAATTTTTAAAAATTATAACAATGATGTTTGAATGACAAATTATTTTTTTACTTTAAGTATTAAAATATTTCTAGATATATGGAACTATAGACATGTATTAATAATATTTAATTATTAAAACAAACTATTGGTGTTATAATTACTGATAGTTCTCAATAATTGAAGTGTATATTAGGGTGGAACGAATTTTATTTTTTTTTAAATCAAATTTGTATTAGCTCTTAAAATATATCTATATACTTCAAAAAAAAGTGTGTGGAGTTAAAAATAAATATATTGATATCTTGAGGTTCCTCCTTGAGTATGAATTTTTACTAAAATATTGAAAATAAAAAAAAAATAGGAAATTTTAACATATTTTGTACAAACTATAATATATAGCGTAAAATTGTATAGAACTTTAATTGTAGGTCCTATTATGTTCTATAAAAAATATATTTAGAAAATTTCTGGTAAATTAATATTATTCCGAAAAAATAAAAAAACAAAATATTTTATTTGTTTTGAAAAAATAATATTTTTACGATTACCTACTGTACGTTTGTACAGAATTAGTGTGAAGCTTAAAAATAAATCTAGTTATACCTTAAGGTTCTTTATTGACTTTGAATTTTTTCTAATATTAAAAGCAGAAAATTAATTTTATTTGTTTTTTAATTTATTTACTTTCCCATAATTATAAAATAATTAACATAAAAATCTTAAAACTAAATTATTAATATATAAACCGAACAAAATATACAATTTAAATTACTTTTCAGCAAAATAATCTTGTTTTTTTTTTCAAATGTCGGAAGAGAATTTCTTGATTTAATTCTTACGTGAATAAATCCTTCCCTGTCTTTGATCCACAAACAGCAACGGCCGATTCGGTTACTAAGCGTACATTTCGTTCCACTGCTTGACAATGAGACGGAATATTTATGATTTTAATGGGATTTCTTAAATCCAAATTTTTTGTTAAGGGTGGTTCATAGATTTTTACTTGATCCCAAAAAATGATTTCCGTGTAGTTTGTTGCTTTAAAATTAAGTTTGGGAACAGTAAAGACACGAATGTTATTTAATTTATATTTTCTCGCTTCAGAAATCTTTTTAACAGCAAATTTGTTTATCGTGGAATCTTCATCTGTAAGCATTGAAAGCAATATATTTTCTGGATGCGCGAAATAAGCATTTCGTTGAATTACCGTATCAATAATGTTTATAATATTTTTCGGAAAGCACCTAGATAGTTCAATTATTTTAAAAATATGTCTTGGTCCGTCAATACATAAAATATTTAGTTTTATGTGAAACCATATTGGGGCATATACTTTTACTTTTACTATATTTTTACTATGTTTTTACTAGGGTTTTCAGTTCCTACATACAATCTTAAAATCCGATTAGTCATTGTCAACCATTTAGCATGGGAAAGTTTTCCCGGGTTTCTAAATGACAACGAGACTTCAATTTCACCCAATGATACTGCTTTTACTATTTCTAATAAATATTTTTGGTCTGTACTAAGATCTAAGAATGCATTTATGGTAGGAAGGTTGTTTTTAATAATTTTAAATTTTTTAATAGGCAAATTTTCACATTGTCCTAAGTTTTTACCAATATTTCCTACAAGTCCATATGGTCCATTAGTTTTACCATCGAGTTGTTCTACCAAATGTCGTAGTGGGAGTTCATTAAAATGAAAAAGACAAATAATCCATTGTAATCAGTGGCGTAGCCAAGGGGGGGGCTAAGAGGACTATAGCCTCCCCCACGGGCCGTGTTTATATGTATAATATATCTTGACTATTTAATAGAATTAATGCTCGTTTTAATCAAAGGTTTATGGATGTTATGCCACTTGAAGGACTTATTCCGGCCAATTTAAATATGTATGACGATAAAAATATTATAGAAGCTGCTAAAATATGTGTCCAAGATCTCCATGATGATACCTCATCTACAATCAGAGCTGACCTGTTCATATGGAAGCAACAATGAAGTCAAAATACTATTCCAAAACCGAATTCTGCTCTTGATTCACTCTCTCATCGCACCAATCTTCGACCTAACATTAAAATACTTTTACAATTATTCTCCACGTTACCAGTTACCTTTTTCACTCCGGAAAGAACGTTTTCAGCACTTAATCGTTTAAACATTTTTTTAAGAAACACCATGTCGGAAAACAGACTGAATGGGTTAGCTATGGCTAATATAAATAAAAAAGAGTAATTCGATGAAAGTGAAATAATAGCTGAATTTGTCAGAAATTCGCCTAAGAGAATGCAGCTGTCAGAGTGGAGCAAGTGACTGAACACAAACCAAAATTATTATTATTATTATAAATTATATATCAATAAAATTTTTTAAAACTATACTAAAATGCTTGAATTACGTTTAGAAACTTGGTGGTAGATGGTGGGGGGGTTAAGGGTCAATTTTCATATCCTCTCTTACTTTACTTATCCAAAAAAAGTGGTTAGCCTCCCCCATTTAAAAATCCTGGTTACGTCACTGATTGTAATGGTCTACCGAGTTCTTCTTCTATTAAACGAATTACACCAATTTTATAACCAGTATTAATAACGGTACCATCACATCCGATTGCAATAAGGTCTTTAGTCTCATACTTAGTAGAAAGAAAATTTAAAATTGATTTTTTTACCTCTTTTGCGGTATTTTTATCGGTCGTAACGTGTCCCAAGTAATTTGAACTAGGCTCTTGTAATATTGTAATATGTTCTTCTAATACAGTACTTCTCTTAAAATGTTCATATTCTTCGTTTTTTTTATATAATAATGTTTTGTCTTTACGACCATCAAAAAATATTGCAAGTAGAGGTGTTGTTTCTTTATGTATTAATAATTCACGCTGTTCTTTACGAGCTCTCCTAATTTTCATTCTGTCGATCGTCATTGTAGGATTTGTTTTAGAAAAAAGACCAACATCTTCTAAAACCGCATTAGAAATCATTGCCGCAGCTCGATCCGATACTCCAGTTCTGTCGCAGGCAGTGGCCAAAGCTGGCGATTTCAATCTCATTTGCGAAAATGTAAACGTAGACAGTAGTAAAACATTAATTTCTTTACTGTTGTCTCTTTCACGTTTATTATTTAAATTCACTTTTGCAATAGTAGTTTCTGTTTTCTTAAATTTTCTTTCTTTATTTTTATTTATCTTTTTTGTAGTTGCAATATCTAATGATCCAATGGCCATTTTTCGAACAGTTCTTTGATCTCGTAAAAAGTCACGTTCTATTATAGGCACTTTCTTAAGTTTTTCACACTTACAAATTTTTGTATCACATTTACACGCGGCAATATCAAAAAGTTTTGAAGCATCATCGATAAAACATTTTATTTTCGATTGCATAATTGAAGTCCCCTTTCTCGCTTTAAAATTTTTTAATAAATTTTTATAATGTCCGTGAATTTTTTTTATCATATTACATATTCGAATATAAGATACGGTCGGAATACACGAAGTTTTCCAAATGTTTATAATTTTTGGT